TGTTCTTGGACATTTGGTCCAATTCCAAGTCTCAGCAATTATGAATAATGCTGCAATGAACATGAATGTGCAAGTGTTTTTCCAACTGAATGTTTTTCTATCCCTTGGAAAGATACCCAAGTAGTGGAATTACTGGGTTGTATGGTAGTTCTATTTGTAGGTTTTTATATTGTTCTCCACAGTGGCTGTATTAATTTACGTTCTCACCAACAACGTCAGAGGGTTCCCTTTTCACCATAGCCTCTCCAGCATTTATCATTATGTTTTTTTTTTTTTTTTTTTTTTGAGAGAGAGATTTTTGCTATAGGGCACGTGCACTTGCTGGAGAGACAGAAAGTGAAAAATCACCTCTCAGAGGGATGGCCACACCACAATCCCTTCTCTAATTTCCTCTGGGGATTTTGGGCATAAACGCACATATACCCACCTTGAGTTTTAAGCCACCAGGTCTGGCATGCAAACCATGGTCAATTACATGTGAGTCCAATGATGTAACCATAACAGCATCTGATGGTCCCTCGTTCTGTACTTTTTTTTTTTTTTTGAGAGGTTTTTGCCATAGGGCGTGTACACTCGCCAGACAAACAGAGAGAGACAGAGAGACAGAAAGCAAGAAATCATCCCCCAGGGGGGATGGCCACGCCACAATCCCTTCTCTTCCATTATCCTCTCAGGATCTTGGGCACGCATGCACACGCGCCTGGCATGAGTTTTAAGCCACCAGGTCCAGGACTCGAACTGTGGTCAAGTACAAGCTGCCAGGTCCAGGACTTGAACCGTGGTCAGCCATGAAGAAGTCTAGTCACTGTAACCATGGCATGTACGTCCTGTATTTTTTAAATCTTAGCCATTCTTATGGGGGTTAAGTGGTAACTCAATGTAGTTTTGATTTGGGTTTCCTTTAAGATTAGAGATGTTGAGCATGTTTTCATATGTTTTCGACCATTCATAGATCTTCCTTGGAGAGTTGTCCATTCAGTTTATTTTTCTATCTTTTAATTGAATTGATTTATGTGTGTGTGTGGGGGGGGTTACTTATTTAAAATTCCCTATATATTCTGGTTATCAAATATTGCCAGAGATATTCCTCATAGAAATAGAAAAAAATCATAAAATTTATCTGGAATCATAAAAGGCCCTGTATTGCCAAACCAATACTGTGATTAAAAAAAAAAAGTAGGAGGCATCTCACTTCCTGATCTCAAAATATATTACAAAGATGTGATTATCAAAACAGCATAGTATTGGCACAGAAACAGACATATAGACCAATGAATAGAATAGAGAATCCAAAAATAAATCCTAAAACATATAGTCAACTAATTTTTAACAAAGGGCACAAGTCAATCCAATGAGGTAAAAAAGAAAAAAAACCTCTTCAGCAAATGGTTCTGGGAAAATTGGATATTCACCTACAGGAAAATGTAACTGGACCCCTATCTCTCACTGCTAACAAAAATCAGCTCAAAATGAATCAAAGACCTAAACATAAAACCTCATATGAATAGCCAAAAGCATATGAAAAAATGCTCAGCATCCCTCATTGTAAGGGAAATGTAGATCAAAACCACAATGAGATACCACCTAACCCCAGTCAGAATGACTACAATTAAAAAAAAAATATGATAAGTCCTGGCAGGGCTGTGGTGAAAGGGGACTCTCTTACACTGCTGGTGGGAATGTAAATTGGTCCAGCCACTGTGGAGACCAACATGGAGGTTCCTCAAAGATCTGCAAATAGAACTACCATATGATCCAGCAATCCCACTTCTTGGTATCTACCTAAAAGACAGAAGAATTCTTAGTCAGAAAAATGCTTGCACATCAATGTTTACTGTGGCATTATTCACAATTATTAAGACATGTAACCAACCCAAATGCCCACGAACAGATGAATGGATTGAAAAACTGTGCACATGTACTCTATGGAATACTACTTAGCCATAAAAAAACAACAAGCCCCTGGCTTTTGACAGAAAGTGGATGAATATGGAAGATTTACTACTGAGTGAAGCAAGCCAGGCTATGAAGGATAGACATTATATGTCTCCACTTAATATATACCGAGTGTCCACACTCTTAATGACCGAAACTGAATGACTAAAGGATATAGAAACACAGTAAATAGTTGTGAATACCGAATACAGTGTAGGAAAAGGGTAGGTGAAGGAGTAGAGTCTGAGGAAGGACATTAGGGAGAAAAATAGAGAGGCTTAGCATTAATGGGACAAAGAAATGGGGTGTTATCTGTTGAAGATAACTTTATAGTATTATCAACTGTACTGGGGAAAAATGTACACGTGTTGGAATATTTGCTTTGCAAGCTAAATAACGTGATTGAATCTATAAAAGAACTTGAAATTTAAAAACTCATCTATAAAATATAGGGGAAACTCTTGGAAACATTGGAGTATGCAAAAATTTCCTAAGTAAGACCCCCCAAAGCGTGGCCAATAATTCTGAAAATAGACAAATGGGGGCTAAAAATCTTCTGCACAGCAAAAGAAACAATAAGTAGAATAAGAAGAAACCTTGAGAATGGGAGAATATTTTTGCAAACTATGCCTCAGACAAGGGACTAATCTCTCTTTCTAAGGACTTATCCTTAGATTTGAGGCCCACCCTAATTCAAGATGATCTTGAAATCATGAACTTAATCATACCTATGAAGTCTATATTTCCACAAAAAGGCCACATTGACTTGGACTTGGGGTTGGAACTTAAACAAACATATTTTTTGGGTACAGTTAAATCCATAACAATTTCTATGGGAGCTCTGATGTCCATCCAGAATGAATGCTTTAGAAGATTCTATCAGTTCCAGGCTCAATACTATGTAGGATTATTGGATATAGTGAGACCAAGACCTAAAAAAAAAAAAAAAAAAAAAAAAAAAATCTTGCCAGAGTGGTCATTAAGCTATATTAAAGAAGTAGCTTAGCTACTTCTGTGTTCATTTTCATGGTTAATTAAATTTCTTTAATTAATTTATTTAAATTTGACCAGAGAGCGGGGAGAGAGAGAGAGAAGAAAGTCTCAGACTTGAACTGTGGCCGGCTATGTGGGAGTCCAGCACCCTTAACCACAATATCACCTGCCAGCCCTGCCTAGCAGGCATTCTATCTATGTATTTCTCTTTGTATTTGGACAGCAAGACAGTGACTGGGTCTTTGCCACTTTGAGTCAGAGATTATACCTTCCAAGATTCTGATTTACTCCATTTCTTCACATATTTGGTGACCAGCTCTCCTGTTTTGCAACCTTCTTCTAATATCTTTTGCTCTGCATATACAAGCAACAACTTTTCTTTTTATTCTTTGTGGTCTTGCCAATTAAGTACCTTGAACTTGATGGGACTGGATTTTTTAGGCATAAGACATAATAACTAGGTCATTACCACTATTGACTAACCTGAACTCATTAACAGTGATCTTTTTCACCTTGCCAAAGCTTAATGAGGTTATTAATTAGTGCAAGAGACATAAATCCTCAAGGTTCGCTTTAATGCCATCTGGGGAGAAGGCTAGATCTTTGGTCATAATTCCTGTTAAAGGATTCAAATCACCATAAAATGACATTTCCCTTTGATGTAAACTTGCTTTTCTCTTTAAATGGGTTATTTTTTGGTTCCTGAAATTTCCAGTTATAATCCAACCAATGCCTCAGTTGACTGAACAGTTGGAACAGTGGAGTGCACAGTTAAAATTCACAAGTTCTGGGGATCAGACAGTTTTTCAGTGGTAATTCAATGTTCTGTAAAGCTGGCCTTTAGGGGAAGTTTCCTGATTTGTGTCTAGAGACTTCCCTGAATGTGCCAGGCTCATATGTGCCCATGATCCAGGGCTGGCTGAGGCTGGGAGTGGATCACAGGATGCTGTTGGTAATGCTGTTTCTCTGTCTCTGTTTTGCTTGTGTAATACACTCTGGAGACAATTGCTTGAGTTTGAATACTGGCTCTCCTATCTACTGTATGACACTGGGAAAGTTATTTGATCTCTCTCTACTTCAGTTTTCTCATGTAAGCAAGTGTGAGGATTTAATTCAGACATGTAAAATGCTTAGGCAGTACCCAGCACGTAATGAGTGCTTTACATATGAGGAATCTTCAAAATGTTTTGTGGAAAACATGTACTATGAAAAAATTATGCATATATTTAAATTTTTTTCATCGAAATAAACTTGTACTTAAATTCCATTTTTTCACAAACTTTTTGAAGTCCCTTCATATGAGAAGTGGTTATGTTTATTCATTAAGTCCAAAGAAATCACTTTCAGCATCTCCTTTGTGTAAGATGCAGTTTGGTGCTATTTATTTTAGATCAGCAGCTCCCAACCTTTTTGTCATGGACTGGTGTTGGGCATGGCCTAAAGGTTGGGGACCCCTGTTTTAGTGGTATTATAGGTTGACTGATCACCCCCCAAAATCTAGAGAAAATGTTACATTGAAGAGCATCTGACATCTTATAGTCTTGGAGCTAGAGTTTCTTCTTCCACATTCGAGGCAGCAGAAATTAGTAGTAGTTGAAAACATGAGTCCTTGAATCAGATCAAAGGATTTAAACCCAATTTTGTCTTTTTTTTTTAGACAGAGTCTCACTCTGTCATGATCCTCCTGTCTCAGACTCCTGAGTAGCTGAGACTACAAGCATGTGGCAATGCATGCAGCTTTTTAGGGTGGGCAGGAATTGAACCTACACCTCCCTGGTGGCCTCAGCCTGATGGGTGTGCAGCATCTACAAGCACACAATGCTGTGCTGGACCCAATTTTGCCTTTTATTAATTGTGTAATCTTGGAATGTCACCATACTTTTTTGATACTTTAGCTTCATCATCTTTGAAAAATGAGATAAAAAGATTGCCAACTTCCTAAGTTTGAGGTAAGGTTTCAGTATGTGTTTGGCATATAGAAATATCCAGTAAATGTTAGCAGTTGTTAGTACTATTAATGCTTGATGAGTCATTTTTGGTTTTGCTTTATCTTTATTTGCTTTATCTTTCAGGCTGAATTCTCGGAGTTGAACCTGGCCGCCTATGTTACAGGGGGCTGTATGGTGGACATGCAGGTTGTTAGAAATGGGACCAAAGTTGTGAGGTAAGCTGAGCTAAACACAGAAGACCTTCTGAGAGAGGAATGGAAAACCTCACATAGCTACCCCTCTATCTACTGCCTGAGACCTAACTCCTTCTCCACGTGCACTTTTATGTACAGAATGTCCACTTCCAAGCACACCCATGGTGGCACACAGCACTAAGACTCTGTGCTCCCCAGGCTGGGACCACATTGGAGCCCTGGATTCAGTTACCAGTCTAACCTAAATGTCAGGCAGGGTGGAATGCAACCTGTAATCTCAGATACTTGGGAAGACTGAGCTGGAAAGCTAGCAAACTCAAAACTGGTCTGAGCAACATAGCAAGATGCTGTCTTAAAGAGCCAGACAGGATAGTACATGCCTGAGGTCCTAGCTACTCAGGAGTCTTATGCAGGAGGATCATGACACAGTGAGACCCTGTGTTTAAAGAAAAGTAGAAAGTTTGCATCCAAAGCATTCCAGGTGCTGTGGCAATAGAAATGACGAGCAGTACAAATGATATGGGGGGCATCGATTGTGTCCTGGAAGGAGCCCTGACTTGAAGAGAAAAGACTTGAGTTCCATTCCATTCTAAAATAGAATGGCTCTATTCTGTCAACCCCTCTAGTCTCTAGCAACGTGATCATAGCAACATTAAAGTCAGGG